TATATATATATATATATATATATATATGTATATATATATATATATATATATATATATATATATATATATATATATATATATATATATATATATATATATATATATATATATATATATATATATATATATATATATATATATATATATATATATATATATATATATATATATATATATATATATATATATATATATATATATATATAATGTATTAATAATATATTTTCTTATGACTTGTGTTTAATAGGATCCCGTGTTTCTGAGGCTAAAACTGGAAATAAATTACAACCTTGTGTATAATACGACCCTGTAGTACAGTCATCCTTATGAAATATGAAAAAAAAAAGGTTTTTTATGTTATCCATTAAAATCTTAATGTCGTACATATATTTCACTAAAATGTTTAATTTTTCATTAAAGAATAGAAATGAATCGATAGTCATTGCGTGTTTCATCTAATTTTAGTTTCAACTCTCATTTTAGAAAAAATTCCGTGATAGGTGTTAACTAGACCCAGCAATACATTTTATGGTGTTAATTGTTTATCATACTTTTCTGTTTGATGTGAATTTACTGTATTTTTATATATTCATAACCTCTGAAAATAAAAAAAAAAGAATGAAAGAATTAAGAATGAAAAGAGAAAAACAAGAATTCAAAATCCAAACTTTTTCAATCTTGCTCATTCAAATAAGATGTCGAAGTTACATATATATATATATATATATATATATATATATATATATATATACACACACACACTCACACACACACATATACATATATATATATATATATATATATATATATATATGGACCTCTTGATTAGTGCAGCTAATGTGTGCATTAAAAGATACTCATTAATCGAATATAATAACTTATAGGAAATGATGTAATTTGTATCTCAAATTTCAGTCTCATTCACAATTCATTTCTAATTTGCGTATTTTTTAATTAAAATATAGGTACATATAAGAAGATAAAGTAAAACTGCTATAAATCAATGTTTATTAATCTGATTTTTCTTTAATGAAAAACTTATTTAGAGTGATTTGCCGCATCTTATTCTTCTCTTCTTCGAATAATTGGCGGTACTGAGAAATTGCCACTTCAAATTTTCCAAACATATAATCATTAGTATTTTAACCTGAAATTTTTATTTATAATCTTTCTATAGTAAATCCATACATCTTTTATCTTACGATATTTTTTAATAAATCTAAATTTCTGTATCTGAATTAAACCGCCCATTTTTTTAACAAAAATCAGAAATTACCTTTTGACCTTCAAAATAAACATGAAAAATAAATCGAAATAGACAAATATTCAAATATGCATTTTTATTATCGGCTTATATTATAAAAATTTATCTATTTCTAACCGTCCATTTTTAACACTCTAATTACTTAGATAACGTAATACTTGACAAACAAAATTGTTACCCCTTTTCCATTTTAAAATTACAGAAAGTTTTTAATTAATCGGTAACTATAAAAAAATCAATTTTCAATTACAATGGTTAAACTGAAAAAAAGTTTTATCCCACTAATCGAGTATTATATATGCACTAATCGAATTTTGGTATATAAATTTTTTAGCGCACTAATCGAAAACGCATTAATGGAGAGATCCCTGCGTACATATAAACGAGATATTGCTGAAAAATTATTGATCATCAAACAGGGGGATATTTTTAATAAGGAAAAGAACATTTTAGTATATCTGATTTTATTCATATTTTAATGTATCTGTACTTCTTCGTCTTGTTTGTGCCATGTCTGCTCACGGCGTTGGTGATCACAGCTCTCCTCAACTTCCTATCTCTTGTAGCTCATAGTAGCATTTGTAATTTTACTATCGTTCCCAACTTCGGTTCTGTGATCTGCGTTCGTCAGATAAGTAATGTCCCGATACTCCCTGTTCGTTTTACCTTCGATATGTCCTGTGAGTGTCAAAATTTTCAAACCCCACTTCCTTATGTCAAAGGAATTGTAGCTGAACCTGGATACAAGTGTCTCTTTTGTTTATATGTTTCTTAAGACTTCTTCGTGGTTTGCGCGTTCCGTTCCTGGTATTCTTATTTTTCTGTAGAAACGCAGTTTTGCCGCCTCCAGTCCATTAGTTTGTGAGGAAATAGCCCAGCATTCCTTGCCACATAGGACGATTGATATTACGTAGCAGTTTCTCTTTGTTTATAATGAAATTTGCTGTTTCTTAATACTTTGCTTATTTTTTGGGATGTATCTTTTGCTATACTGATACACCCTCGGAATTCGGCGTCATATTTTCCATCCTCTATCGAAACACAACTCAGATATTTAAACTTCTGTACTTGTTGAATTTAGTTAGAGTTGGCTCAAAAGTGGTTTCCCTTATGGAAAAAAGAGAGTACAGGTTCGATTCTGGTTTAGAGGTATATCATCTTTTGTATGACTTCTCGAACACTGGGCCGGTAGATATTAATTTCAGTGTTTAGAAAAACAAAAACAAAACAATCACAACAGGTATGACGACTCAAAACACAATTACCATTAAATACAACGTTTTAATAATATATATACTACAACACACACACAAATACACACACACATACATATATATATATATATATATATATATGAAGAAATATAGTCTTAAGATGTGTTATATTTATGGGATAAAGTGCTCAATATCAGAGATAGAGCGTGTGTGAATATAAAAGTGAACATAGAAGTCAACACTTAGGCGACAGTCTGTTTCATGCTAGATGCAATCGTCAGGTCTGACGATTGCATCTAGCCTGAAACAGACTGTCGCGTCTGAGTGTTGACTTCTATGTTCATTTATATATATATATATATATATATATATATATATGTATGTATGTATATCACACTTGCTCTATATGTGGCCTCCTTTGTAGCGGGTCTTAAATGCCACTTAAGATTATCGCACAAAATTTCATAACTGAATCAATAAGCTGTCAGATCCTCATACGTCGAAACCGACGGGAGAGTCCATTATATATATATATATATATATATATATATATATATATATATATATATTTAGTTAACTTTAGGCAGAAAGTATTCATCCAAACAAGTTTTATTAAAAGAATCGGAGAACTCTGTCTGCTTAATATTTTATTGTATTTTTCCAATTTTCGGGGAAAGTGTTGCGTATTGTACTCGAAGTTGTCGGTAAACTGCGAAGTTTTGTAAACTCAAATATTGTTATCCACTAAAGAATAACGTTTACTTAAAAGATCTGTTGGATTAATAAATAAATAAATCGACCACTTTTTTGAAACATATATATATATATATATATATATATATATATATATATATATATATATAAAAAGACAAGAGGAAAAAAACTATTCCTTAAAGGCTTTTAAATTTGAGACGGTTCATGAATATTCCTCAAAATATATGGAAGGCACAAAGTGCCATAATTCAAAATCTGGTAAGGTAAAAAGTAAACGAGTAATATTCAAGAAATATTTTATTGTTATGATTTTGGATGGTCACGAACTTATCACAATTTAACCAATATTTATTTATTAAAAAATATTCTCAAAATATAAACCAATGACATCCCTGCTCTTGTATATAAACACGTCAAACAAAATAAATCCTACATTTGTCTTGATAAATTTCTACAAAGGACGAAACGAGTCGGCTAAGAATAGTTTTTCCTCTTGTGTTTTTATTCATTTTGTTCCTTTACAAATACACTCTATCGAAAATAATATATATATATATATATATATATATATATATATATATACATATGTATAAATATGTATACATATATCTATATATGTATATATATATATATATATATATATATATATATATATATATATGTGTATATATATATATATATATATATATATATATATATATATACTCAGTTGCATGGATATGAGTTTGTAACTCTGGGTTTCACGCATATGAATATGTCAGCTTTATCACTGATATTGAGCACTTTCCAATAAGTACCGCGCATATATAAAATATATATAGAAATTATATATATACATATATGTGTGTGCGCGTGTGTGTGTGCTCATTTTCTGTCCCTTCTTTTATTGAAATCTATATACTGACACTATCATGACTTATACTGTTGAAGTTTATATTTGAGATTTTTTTTATTTTTCTGCTTTTTTTATTAGTATTTGTCGTTTTTCATTTTAATATTTGAGGTTAATAAAATAAGTAAGCGATAATTTCAATAATTTCTTTGATCTTTGGAAGTCGCTCAATCCCACAAAAAACATTCTGTTTTCTTTTTGCCTATAAGCTATAAGTATTTATGAGAGTAATAAAATTTCTTCACATTCCAGGAATACATACGAATTACAATAAATAAATAAACATGTAAAAATTGTTATTTAAAAAACAAAAAAAACAAACATTATGTTCAAAAGAATTTTTAAATGTTGATATTGTTCGATTCAAAATTACACATTATTATTAAATGATATTTCTGAAGTATTAATCAAGAATGATACTAAATAAATAATTTTAATATTTGCACAATTAAAACATTTATTTAAATTTAATTAAACAAATTAAAATAGTCTAACATATTTTCTTTTACAACTAAAATGTTTAGAGAATATATTATTTAAAGAAAAGCAGTAAAAAATTTTAAAACAAAATAACAATATGGCTTCATTGCAGTCTTTATTTTGTCATTCAGGGCATATTTCACGTCTAATAAATTTTCGAAGAAAAGTGTGCGTGAGGTGGCGAGGTCATTTCACGCGACTGCATCGTACGTTGAAGATATTTACATTCCATACTTTATGAGTATTAAGAGAATGTAGTCGTAGCCACTATTATTAAACATTTTTACCAGAATTATATACAATTTTTTCCATTTTCAGCAATTCTATATTCTAATACTTTGGCCTAATTTTTTTCACGTGCTATAATTTTTCTCACACAACTTCAAAAATCTATCTATCTATCTATCTATCTATCTATCTATCTATCTATCTATCTATGTTTGTTCATCTATCTATCTATCTATCTATCTATCTATCTATCCATCTATCTATGTTTGTTCATCTATCTATCTATCCATCTATCTATCTATCTATCTATCTATGTTTGTTCATCTATCTATCTATCTATCTATCTATCTATCTATCTATCTATCTATCCCTGTCTGTTCATATCTATCTATCTATCTTTCTATCTATCTATCTATCTATGTTTGTTCCTATCTATCTATCTATCTATCTATCTATCTATCTATCTATCTATCTATGTTTGTTTCTATTTCTCTATCTATCTATCCATCTTACGTTGTTTCTATCTATATATATTTATCTATTTATTTTATTTATTGTTTCCGTCTCTCTTTGTTCCTATCTTAGCCTGTTCTTCTATCTATCTATCTATCTATCTATCTATCTATCTATCTATCTATCTATCTATCTTCATTTGTTCCTATCTACCTTAGTTTATCCTTTCTCTCTATACTGTATGTCTGAGTTTGTTCCTATCTCTCTCTCTTTCTCTCCCTGTCTCTCAATTTCTCTCTATCGATCTAATTTTCTTCGAAAAGTTCTGAAAAGTTCTCGGCCTGATCCACTCAGCAAAATCTTGCCAAATGACCGAACAGTAAAGATATTTTTGAAGAATTATTTGGGCGTGCTAAGTACCGTTAGACACTCCCATGCATCTATTTATCCATCTATCTTCGAGTGAATGTTGAAAAGTTCTCGGCCCGACTAAGAAAGTCTTCCCAAAATAAATTCCTGTGTTGGTCAGATTTTTAGAAGTAGATCGAGTCAAGAACTTTCCAACATCCACTCGTATCTCTCTCTCTCTCTCTGTCTCTCTCTCTACATCTACATCTACATATATATATATATATATATATATATATATATATATATATATATTCATGCATATTCCAATTCAAATTGATTATAGAATCAACATTTAACGCGTTTTCGTTGTACTGCCTGGGCAAGGAAGATAGCTATGAGAAAGTGGCTCTGCCTAAGTTCCACAGTTATTCACTCACATCCGAGTATACCTATGATAAGATCTTCCATGTGCCATGTATATTCAAGACTTTGGCGATCATGGCTCTCCACAATTTCCAATCCTTTGTAGGTTTTAGTAAATTTTGTATTTTTGCTATCTTTCCTAATCCCTGTTCTGCCATCCATTTCCCAAGCTCGTTAGGTAGTTTACGTGCTGCTTTCCCCTGTCTCTCTTGACTTCAGTATGTCTTGTGAATGTTGAATTTTCCAAGCCCTCTTTCCACATGTCTCCTCGAAATTTCAAATAATTGTCCCTTTTGTTTCCATTTTCTCTAAAACTTCGTCGTTGGTTACATGTTCAGCTTATGGTATTCTCAACATCCTTCTGTAGAACCATATTTTTGTTGCTTCAAGTCTCTTCTGAGGAAATCGTATGATTTCGAAAATATCTTACAATGGAATAAGCATAGCAAGATTTCTAGGGGAGTGACTAGTCCCTGATTAAATTCGTTTGATCGATTCATTTTTCCGTATCTGGGGAAACTTTCAGAAGATTACAGAGCAACAAAAGTAAAACGAATCCCCCACCACACACAAAAACTATTTGTATCCAATATCTCGTTAAAGTCTAAAGGGTTTTCTCTGTGTTTCAGTGAATATTCATATGATCTTCGGTCGACCTAGATTGGACATTCGTGAGTCTATCACGCCAACCATCACGGCCCTGCATCATTTTGTGTCATAACATTGCTGGTCAATGTAGGTGGTTGCTGTGCGATCAATTCGTCTTACTATATGGCTGGCTGTTCGGGGCAGTAGATCTCTCGCGATTTCTTGTTCTGTTCGCCAGCAGTGTCCTGCAAAGCGCATTCCGCGTTCGCGTAAGATTGTAGAAATACCAGGGATATGTCCATAGAGCTGTGATTTAGTTAGCTGTTGTCTTCAAATGTTGAGTATAACTTTTAGCATCCGAGTGTAGGATCCACCGAGTTTAAACTCTAGGGTTTTAGTTAATGTCCAGGCAGTTTCACCATACATTAACACCGCCTCTATAGTGGGCTCGTAAAAATCTCCGCTTGATGTTGTCTGGTAAATTAGATTACCAGATTGCATCCATTTTATTAAAGGCGGAACAGGGTTTTGCTATGTGAATTTTCACACCCTTTTCAGTAGAATTTATCTCCTACGTATGTGTTATATATTGTGCCTATGCGAGTATCGTATTTTGTTGATGTTATAAAGATTACCATTTCATTTCCAACCTCCGCTTTGGTTATTCCTCATTCAGAAACCCTTTCTAGGTTACATCAGTATGTAAAAGCTTCAAACAGTTTTTATTGATTCTCCTGAGTCAGTTTGTACTGAGCCTTGTTGGTTGGAGCCTATGAATTCTGTTTCAGAGACATTATCATAGAGTCCAACTTCATTGACAACATTTTCTAGATTATGTAGGAGTATTGTGGAGGACAATACCTGTGGTTCTTGTTACAGTTGGCTTTTAATAACGTGTTAAATCCATAAGAATTTAGTAACATTTCCTTTCTGAAAGAATGTCAGATTTCTGGCCTACAAAAGAAGTTATACGAATCACCTATGAATATTAATTTATCGAATGGTTTTTCATTTTTCTTTTGTCGTTTTGATAAACAAAATAAAGGTTGAAGTAGATTTGGATTGTACGATATTCAAAAGCATAGACATAATTTTGTTTTGTGCTAGTTCAGAAAGGTAGCCATACGTTTGTTTTTTCCCGTGTATCAAAAGGATAACAGTCATAGATTTGATATGGATGTGAGTTAAAACGGTAGAAAGTCCGGCTTGTACGAGATATCGACTGGATTTGAGCTGGCGTCAAAAAGGTAGACATAAGTGTGTTTTACAAGGTTGTTTCACCCGTGAGTCAAAATGGTAGCTAAATATTTAGTATGCTTAATAATATACATAAATAGTTGATATATTCTTCTCCAGTGCAGTCGGAAAACCGTTTTACAGCTGATGTCACATGCAATATGCATAATTGATTTGAATACCAGCGTTTCCATTAATGCCGTGATGTAGCCAACATCTTCTCTACTATACTGATAACATCCACTGATCTATAATGACTGTTATAGTCGAAAGTACTCGAATAAAAACGGAAAAAGGCCTGAAGTTTATCCACACTTTTCATTTTTACATTTTATTCGAAAATAAAAAAAATGCAGTTAAAATTAAACAGACTAACCTTGTCAAATGAATTTAGCAAAACTTGTTTAAATAAATTCTTGCTGCTCGAATATACCTTACACCTATACAAGTTTTCTTGTCAATGTTTTTGTTATATTTTGTAGATAAACGCGTTTTTTAAAACAATAAAACTGTTGTTTACCCGCCTATTCTAACAAAGGTGATATACCCATCAGCCGGGCTCGAACTTGCGACACTCTTATGTAGGACAAAATATCGCATATTTAAGGGGAACGCAAATTCGAACACTGTCGAAGGGCACATTCTCTTTATTAAAGTCTCTCTAAATGCCAAGCCGGTAGACGGCAATTAAACTCTTATAAAAATTTACTCAAATGCATGTATCCAATAAAAATCCGTATATAGTAACAAGAAATAATGTCGAATTATAAATAAAAATCCATTTATTCTTTAGAAGTTACATATACGAATGTATACACGATCTCTCATCAGGATGTAGTCTATAACGGTCTGTACAGATTTTTTTTTTTTAATGTGAATTGCTATGGCTTCGTGAGAAAGTTAGTGAAGTATTTTCCCGTTGTTTTTTTCCATAGTTTCGAATTCAGATCTGTCGTTCTCCTTGATTGACTGCCACCCACGTTGAGAGAGCTGAGTTTACCCTGCTATTTAAGCCAAAGCTCAAGGGTGGGCAAAGAAGAGACGGATTGATGACTTTCCCAACAGATTAAGCCGGAATTTGAACATGGGTCGACGGTTCTACTTTTGGACCCCGATAATCGTTGCATTAGACGGACATCATCTCATAGAACAACTTGAAAGACTGGTTCCCGTACGATCAGCGAAGTTAAGCAACGCCGAGCCTGCTCAGTAAATAGATGGGTAACAGCCTGGGAATATCAAGTGCTGTAAGCTTGTATGTGTAATGATAATTGTTCAGAATTGTTCATCGCGGAGCCGAATTACAATTCCAGTTGGGTTCGTTATAGTCACTTACCCCTGGGAAAGGCATGAATCCACCTTTGCTCCCCCTTAGTTAAGTGTTAAATTTGTAGGAATTGTATCAGTAACTCATTATTCTGATTGTTATCTCTAAAAAATCTTGCAATCTAAAAATATTTTCTGGCTTTAAATAACCTGCAAAATCGTAAAAAAAATCAATCAATCAAAATCAGTCAAGGTCTGGCGATTATTTCGCCCAGGAATTTGTCGGTTATTATTCTGAAGGAAGGGTATGTTGTCTTCTATTTTCAAGAATAACAGAACTCTGTTATCTATCTATCTATCTATCTATCTATCTATCTATCTATCTATCTCTGTTATACATCTGTCTCTGTTATATATCTGTCTCTGTTATCTATCTATCTATCTATCTATCTATCTATCTATCTATCTATCTATCTATGTTATACATCTGTCTCTGTTATATATCTGTCCCTGTTATCTATCTATCTATCTATCTATCTATCTATCTATCTAATTTTGTATATCAGAAATATATTGGCAGTTACTCAACTCAAAAATGAAATACAAAATAATCAAAAGTGATAGAAACTCCTCATGGTGATAAAAAAATATGGGAACGATCTGACATTGGATATAAAGATTCCAAAAATATACTACTTCGGAATGGTCTTACAATGGATATAGGTGTTAGTTAAAATTGTGTTACTTGCGTGTAGTGGCCATGAGTTCAGTCCTTGGATGAAGTAGTGAAAAAATATACTACTCGTTCAACGAATGAGTGCTTACTTCATAGGGATAGACTAACACAATAATCAATAGATATAAACCAAATCAATGGACTCCTGATGATGGAAGACCTGTACTTGGCCGAAACGGCGTATATATAATAACATCTATAATAAACAAGATTAGATCCGAATAGCTTTTGAATAATATAAAGTTTATTGACAATTACTCATCTAAAAATAAAATGCAAAAATATCTATCAACCTAAACCTCTTCTTGTTCGCAAAATACACACACACACCCACACACACACACACACACACACACATATATATATATATATATATATATATATATATATATATATACACATAGTGTAACCCGGATATGAGAGAGTTGTCGGGACCGGAGAAGAAGTCTCTTATATCCGGGTTTCTCTTATATCCGTGTTTGGTCTATTTTATATACATTAACACAGGCTCTAATTTGAGACCAGAGAAAATCTCTTATATCCGGGTTTCTGTTATATCTGGGTCTCTTATATCCGGGTTACACTGTATATATATATATATATATATATATATATATATATATATATATATAATCATAAACAAAAAAATTATACCACAGAGTTTATATATGGCTTTGTCTCAGGGCTCAGCCAGTTAAACATTTACAGTTTTTAGAATCGGTTTACATCAAACTTCATTGACCGACTTTGTGCAGACGGAAGGAGAACTTTCTTCGTTCTCTGTGTTCATGGGGGTGAGGCTGTGAGTAAACAATTTTGCTTTATGCTCACTAGGAGTGTATTTACCCAGATTTGTTGTTTTTAGCAATAAATTTATTTTATCCGTGGTTCCTTATTTGATGGGGTTAACCTTTTTCAATTTCACCGTTTCGATTATTGTCGTTTCAACGACTCATTCTGAAGAAGTGTTAGACTAAAAAGATTCCTTCAAAAAAAATGCATTCCGTCATTTTCAAAGCTACAAACATATATTTCCAAGAGGATAAAATCCAGGTAGAGCGCTATGTACAAGACAGAGCAAGAAATGTTTCCATACTTTTCCGATGTCTGGTTTTTAATTTAAGTCAACGAATCGGTAGTCGATTTATGCAAGTGATAATAACTCATACTTATTGGTACCTTTCTCATTTAAACCGTTGTTTAATTTTTCTCTTTAAAACTTCTCTCTTTTAAATTTTATTCCTCACCCTTGGCTCTTTCCTGTTCTTCTTTCTTCCGTTACACCTCTCTCTAGAGTTTTCATACATTTCTCTCTCACCCTTGTTTCTCACTCCCACACATACACTTTCACTGAATTTTTTTTTTAAACATGGAGATATATTTTCTGTTTTCTTTTGAATTTGAATTTGTAGGTCTGATGAAAAAGGTCGTGATTACGATTCCAATATAATAAATTATAACCATGGAATATTAGTGTTTGAACCTTATATATATATATATATATATATATATATATATATATATATATATATAACATTCTTCTGTTTACCCTTGCCCCAACCTGTACACAAATTTTCCAACCGTAAAATCTCTGATTATCCTCAGCCTTTACAATAGCCGATTGAATTTGGTTAATATTTTAATCCTAACTCCGGATTAAAAGGTGATTAATTCATGAAGGGCAGACCGCCAAGGCTTTGATCTCAATCGATGTTTTACTCTAGCCTATGTGAATTTGTAAAGCATGTCATTTTATTGCAGTAATACTGGTCGGTGGCAATTGTGTGGAAATGTGGAAATCTCATCAACTCACTCTACTGATGGAACCCTGGTTCGATTTGTCTCTGAACAAAATAATAATGGCAATGCCAAGGAAATATAGATGTCATGCTGGGGCAAATTTACCGTTACACTATAGCTATGTTTCAAAACATGATTAACGATTTATATTCATACAATCTCCCACCATAGATATATTATTATGTGGAGATAATGAGAAAAAAAAAAGTGGGGGAGCTTTTAAACGACGCGTTACGTCGATGGAGCGTGTGTTAGGTTCGATTTCTTCAGGTCGCAATGAAAAGACCTTATCCGATCTGACGACGAGAGAACAGAAAGCCTTTGTTTTATACATATAGGCACACACACACACACACACACAGATGGAGAAAAACAACCTAATACCAATAACTAGCGCATACATTAATTACATCAAATTTAGTATAACATAAATGAGAAAAACGGCTGTCAATTGCCGAAACCTCCTGATGAGTGGACTGAACGATTACAACAAGTTTCATCTACGAAACTCTGATGTCGAAGTGCTAAATATAGCGTCCATCAGCTAAGTGACAAATTTTATATGTATTGATCCTTCCACACTATCTATCTATCTATCTATCTATCTATCTATCTATCTATCTATCTATCTATCTAAGAGCCGTTGCTGTGTTGTGGATTTTACATCAGCCCACTCCGAGTAGGTCTGTTTTTTCTCTGGTAGCTAGTATAACGTATTGTGCTACTAGTGATTTTGTGATGATCAATGATATTATGTCTGGACCTAGTCCTAGGTTATTAATGTTATTCTGAGATTAGACCACTTTCAATGAGTTTTCTTCTTAATTCCTTTTCCATCTTGATTTTACTGGCATTTATAACGTCGGAATGTGTGTCAGTCTGAGAGAAGAGGGTTCACTAGGGAGAAAATACACCGAGTGTGTTATAATCTCATGATTCTCAACAATAATGCTGCAATTATAACCTCTTCAAGTCTCGGTTCAACCGTTCTCTTTCTTAAATATCCTTATCATCTCCAATTCTTTCGTCCATGAAACAACCCCATTCAGCAACCCTCTGCATTGAGTGAATTTGCGCCTTGTATTAGATGAACAATGACGTAAAAAATTGCTGTCATGTTTTGCAAGCACACATCACTCTATCCTCCCCAAATTAGAAACAAAATTCTCTGAAATTATCTCATGCATGCACCCCCAGAAAAAAAATCTACAACCATAATGGCAATATCCACACCCAAACCAACGACATTAGTATGGGTAACACCTTAGGCCCTATCTTCAAGGATTACTACATGGTGTTTGTTGTGGAGTTATTTCACAGTGGAGGCTTGTATTTGTACTAAATCGGTCCTAAAATAGGTTCGACGTACAAAACGTTAGGAACTTGATATAATAGGTATTACGCAGAGTAATCTTGTTGTGGTCGCTGACTACTTTCGTAATCGACTAACTGTCGACTACTGTCGTCCGACATCGACGCTATTTAGTAACTGCCCCAGGGAATCACATGTGGCACAAGGCCGAAATTAATGTGGGGTTCCCGAGCCCGTAGGCTCGGCCAAAAAAATCCCCGTAGACCCCGCATAAACGGGATCGGGTCTGTCTACCTCCCCGGACGAAACTCTGTTCTTCGGCATAGCCTCGTCCGGGTTCCTCTCTGTCCGAAGGCAGAGAGTTTGACTGTCGTCCGACATCGACTAGTATTTAGTCACCACGAGGGTATCATGTGGCACAAGGCCGGTTTAACGTGGGATCTCCGAGCCCGTGGGCTCGGCCAAAAATATACATAAATATATAAACGGGTTCAGGGTCGGTTTACCTCCCCGAACGAGAATCTGCCCTTCGGCATAGCCTTGTTCGGGTTCCTCCCCGCCCGAAGGCAGAGAGTTCAACCGTTCAGCCGGCCGTCCGACATCGACTGACCCTCGTTTCTCTTACTACTCCTACTTATATTAGATGGGAGAGTCTATTAACTATAGAATAGGTGTGTATCACCATAACAGTATTCCAAGTTAGTTCCTTTTGCCGATACGTTTTCACTAAAAAACATCTATAACGATCAAAGATGAGGCTAAAAGTCTGAAGAAATTGACGCAAACTATATTGATAAATCCTAAATAACAACAACAATAATAATAATAATACGATGTTAGAAAATAAAGCGTTCAAAGGGTCCCATCGACAGATGTGCATTTCTTAAGAAAGATAATTGAACCTTCCTTACGCCGGGTGGTAATACAGCTTCAATTCTTGACTTTCCATGTTTCTAGGCTAGTATATATATATATATATATATATATATATATATATATATATATATATATATATATGTTGTGGTAGGATCCACCTAATTTGCATGGTGGAGTACCGACCATATAAATATGGTTGGTACCGGGAAGAGAGGGAGGAATCAAGAGATTCAACCAAAGACTCTGCCCGACTGCGACTCAGTCAACACATTCTCCAGGAACGGTCTTACCAGGAATATACAAAGGACTATATGTAAATATTGTGTACATTTTCTTGTTTCAATACATTTTGTTCTAAGTACATTTTGTGTTGCATTATTATTCCATGCATTAGTCAAGTTTCAACAATATATAATGTGATACAGTATAGTTTTAAGGTATGCTATATTTATGGGTTCCGTATAAGCATGAAACAGACTGTCGCCGTTGGGTGTTGACTTCAACGTCCATTTTATATATATATATATATATATATATATATATATATATATGTGTGTGTGTGTGTGTGTGTGTAGTGAGAGTGTGTGCGTGATACAGACAGAGAGAGAGAAGAAAGAGTGTGTGTGAGAGAGATACTTACTCGTTTTAGCTACTCTTGCACAGACTCGGAAGACTGTATTCTTTTCATTTTAAGCTTCTTCTTTTACGTGCCGTGCCTCTCCAAGACGTTGATGATCATGGCTCTCCACAATTTACTGTCCTTTGTAGCTCTTAATAATCTTTTCGTTTTTTATTTCTCCGAAACCTTGTTCCGCCATTCATTTACTCA